AATAAAAAAAATTGTGGGCTGGGGATGTGGCTCAAGCGGTAGCGTGCTCGCCTGGCATGCGTGCGGCCCGGGTTCGATCCTCAGCACCACATACCAACGACGATGTTGTGTCCGCCGAGAACTAAAAAATAAATATTAAAAAAATATTCTCTCTCTCTCTCTCTCTCTCTCTCTCTCTCTCTCTCTGTAAAAAAAAAAAATTGTACTTTGAGTCATAGGACAGAATGTAGGGTAGATAGTAACTTCTTTTTAAATTATTGTTAATATCCTTATGTAAGCTGGGCTTGGTGGTGCACGAAGGCTGAGGCAGGAGGATTGCAAATTCAAAGCCAGCCTCAGCTACTTAGTGAGGCCCCGAGCCACTCAGCAAGACCCTGTTTCTAAATAAAATATATGTTGTTTGGTGGTTAAGTGCCCCTTGGTTTAGTTCCTGATACCAAAAAAAATCCTTATGTAAGTTTTCTAATGTTTTATCGTATATCCTTGGACAACTTTAATTTTTATTTTATTTTTAGAAACAGAAGCAGGAGAAAATGTTCTATGTATTCAGTAAGTAAGACATTTATGATTATATTTAAAAAGTTATTTATTTCTATTAAATGAAGTCCCTTAATATTCTTTTGCTTTTTATTTTTTATCCCTTTTGTGGAATACTTAAGGTTAATTAAAAAATAAAATACTTTGCAGAGTTTAATATATGCATTGCTGTATCTGATAAAGATGTTTGGTGTAACAACTTAGTTTTAATATAGTATGAAACACTATACTTTTATATATATATAAACCCTTAATTTAATTAGCTAGTACAAACATTAAATAATAAGTCTTAGATTTTTTTTCATTAATTTAGTCTTTCTTGTTGTGGTAGGAATACAAGTTGAGTATGTGTTGTCCAAAATGCTTGGAGCCATAAGTATTTCAGATTTGGGGATATTTGCATAAGAGATTGCTGGTTGAGTATCCGCAATCTGAAAATCTGAAATGCTCCAAAATTTAATTTGGCACAAATGAAAAGATGCTTATTTACTTATAAGACACATACAAATGAAGACTGTATTGAAATATTTCTTTTTTTCAAATTAGTTAAGGATGTAGGTTAAAAAAAAACTCATTGCTAGTGAGAGTATAAATTATAAAGGCAATTTGTTAATATCAATCAAAATTTTAAGTGCACATGCCATTGTTTCGGTAATTTCGTGTCTGGAAATTTATGTCATCAATATAGTTATAAATATTTAAAATGAGGAATAAATAGGGTTATATACTGCAGCATTTATTGTAACAACAAAAGATGAGAAAGATCCTAAAGATCCATCAGTAAGGAATGTTTAAATAAACTGCACATTTTCCATATAATTGATTAATGTGGCCAAGCATGGTGGCGCAAGTAATTCCAGCAGCTGGTGTAATTCCAGCAGCTCTGAAGCTAAGACAAGAAGACTACAGTTCAAGGCCAGCCTCAGCAACTTAGGGAGACCCTGTCTCAAAATAACATAAAAGGGCTGGAGACGTGTTCAGTGATAGAGGGCCTCTAGGTTCAATTCCAAACATACACCCGCCTCCCACAAACTGATTATTGTGCAGGTAAAGAAAAGAAGATTGTATAGTAAATAGAAAAATATCCAAGTCCTATTATTCAAGAGAGAAAACAACATACAAAACAGTACATAGTATATCACCACTTGTATAAAAGAGGGATGGAGAAAAGCTTGTATGTGTATATATTAATTCATGTGTATACATATATACAATGAACATGTATTATTTACACATTCATAAAATATCTCTGGAAGAGGCTCCTAAGATTGTTTGCCTAGAGAGAAGAAAACCTTGTTAGAGAATTCATACTGGTTTTATAATTTATTAACTTTTAAATAAATTGTTAAAGAAATGGAAGTAATAATATTCACAGTTTCAAAAGGTACAAAAGAGCAAAAAGTGAAAAGTTAAAATTTATTCTTATCTTTTGCTGATCTACTCCCCACAGATAACTACTGTTATTATTTTGTGTGTCCTTGGAGAAATTTTCTATATTATTTCAAAGTACATGTTTATTTTTAGCTTTTTAAAAGACAAAAATGGAACCACGTAATAGTTTGTTATTTCCATTTTGTTGCATAAAAATCTAAAAGTTTTCTAAGTCTCGCCAGGGCAGCGTGCAATTCATTTTGGGAATGGAAGGAATTTCTCCTGCATCAGGAATAAAAATTTGTGATGCAAATTTGAAAAAAGAAAGACAAACTCAGTGTATTGTAATCCATTGTGTGTCTGAACCAACATTTAGTCAGCTTCATATTGGCAAACTCTTGGGTTGTTTCCTTTTATTAATTCATTTTTAAGGCTAAAGTTTTAGAAAATGAATTGCTTTACAGATCATTCTATATTTTTAAATAAGCAAGCAGTATGTATTAAGCATATTTTAATAGTATTCTTGATTCAACAAACCATTAAGACCATTTACCAAACCATTAAGTCCTTTAATTATCTTGTAATTTTTTTCAGCCACTATTAGATAAGTCATTTTTTAAAGGATCTATAATTTTCTGCTAGTTACCCTATGAAAACCCTTCACCTTGCCTAATCTTTTAACTGTTTGGATTCTTGGTAATTGTTTGGGGAATAGATTACAAAAATGCCTTTTGATTTTTAGGAATAAGAATTCAGAAGATAATTATTGTGAGATTGCTGGTGAGTATGACTAGAATACTTTTCTTGTAATTTACCTTTCTCTTAATCCAAATTTCTTGGTAAGTAATATCTACAAGAAACATGGAAAAAATATAAGGAGAACTTTGTTCTTTTCACAGATTTTTTAATTTAAAATTTCATAAATATGCTATGATTTCTCTCAAACATGCTATTCCTCCTGTTTTTCCTTTCCTGAACTCCTGCTCACTCAGCCATTCACTGAAGTTAGGAATCATTCTGAACTCTTCCTTCATTTCCCATATTCAGTAGAGTCCCTACTTTGTAAGTTCTGCCTCCTAAGTATCTTGCCAATCTGGCACTTTTCTCTTATTTTTCTTTAATTTAAGTCTTTGTTATTTTCTATAACATTATATTTAACTATTATATTTAATATTATATTTAACCACCTTCCTGCCCTGCAGGGGGGTGGCCCCATTCCCATGACATGGCATTGAACCCAGGAGCATTTTACCTCTGAGCTACATCCCCCCCCCAGCCCCCCCCTTTTTTTTTTAGTTGTAGATGGACACAATACCTTTATTTTGTTTATTTAGTTTTTTTATGTGGTGCTGGGGATCAAACCCAATGCCTCATGCATGCTAGCTGCATGCAAGTGCTCTATCACTGAGCCACAACCCCAGCCCTCTCTAGCCCTTTATAAAATTTATTTGAGATAGGGTCTTGCTAAATTGCCCAGGCTGACCTTGAACTTTTGATCCTCTTGCTTCAGCCTCCCACATAGCTGTAATTATAGGCATGTGTAATTATAGGCTTCTCCAGATTTCTAAATATTATTAAGTTAACTTACAGCTTAAAACGGTTCAGTGATAACTTTTTTACTTACAAGATAAAACCCATATCCTTAGCCCTGACTTAGAAAGTCCTTTTTTGTTTGTTTGTGGTGTTGGGAATTGAACCCAGAGCCTTGAAACAAGCACTCTACCAACTGAGCTATATCCCCAGCCCTTAAAAAGTCCTTTATAATTTGTCTTGTCTTCTTTTCCAACCTTATGTCCTCCCTTTGTAGGTAACTTGTGCTCTAGCCCATTGATGGATTATTTGCAGTTCCTTATATGGACTTTTTTTCCGTCCCCTATGCACTTAAAAAATGCTGTTTCCTCTATCCAAGTGCTATTCCTACTCTGATTTACCTATCAGTCTTCTTAATTTTTCACTTAGCTTTTCACGTAGCTTAACCTCAGTGATATTCAAAGTAGCCAGTCTACAAATTGTCTACAACAGAAAAGGAATTTGTACCACAATGTAAATTATATGTGGTATTAAGTCACTGTTTAGTTCAGCTAAACATTTTTTTCTTAGTAAGGCTTTTTTTGTACCAGGGATTGACCCAGGGTTGCTTAACCACTGAGCCACATCCCCAGTCCTTGTTATTTTTTTATTTTGAGATAAGGTCTCCCTAAGTTGTTTAGGGCTTCACTAGTTGCTGAGATTGGCTTTGAACATGGGATCCTCCTGCCTCAACCTCCTGAACCCTGGGTTTACAGGCATGGGCCACTGTGTCTAGCTGTAGGACCTTCTTGATGAAGGAATTCTAATATGGCTTGCATTTGCTGTAAGCTCCTTATCTCATCATGAATTGGTAATAAGCAGTTCATAGACTGGCACTATATTTCCAATAGTATTGGCTCAAATCAAGCCTTTTTTAACAAAATCATGGCGTGAGCCACTAAGTTCTCTGCTTTTATTTTTCAGTCCTTTTTAGAATTTATCACATTGTATTTTAGGTATTTATCGTGGATTTTCAAATATTAAACTACTAGCTCTTTGGGCTGGGATTGTAGCTCAGTGGTAGAGCACTTACCTAGCATGTGTGAGGCACTGGGTTCAATTCTCAACACTACATATAAATAAATAAAAAATATAAAGGTCCATCAATAACTAAAAACATACTTAGAAAAAAAAAAACTACTAGCTCTTCAAGTATAGACATATTTTCTTGTTCTCCTTTGTGCCTTACAGATAATTGAGAGCTTTTTTGCACATGGTAGGTCTAAATCAATAATTGTTGAATAAATGAATGGAGTCCTGATAGAAATAAGGCTTTTACTAAAAGGCCTATAATTACTCCGTCATATGCACTAAAGGTTTCCATAAACATACATGATGTATAAATGTATTTTTTAGTGTAGTATAACATCTTCTCCAGTATTTATATCCAGAGTCCAGTTTGATACCTAAATCTTTATATTTCAGTTCTAAATGTCTTGAGTCTAATTTTTCTTTCCCATTTTCACTTTTACCCTAACTTAAACACTTACTTGTTATATCTGAATTATTTGCAGTAGTTTTCTCAGTGATTAATTTTCTCTTGACTCTTCCTTATTTTTTTTGTTACTTTTCTAAAATGTATATTTTATAAAATGTGTTATTTTATAATAAATTTCTTTTATCAAAGGGATATCTGTCATGAGAACATTTCAATGCCTTAACATTGAATAAAAGACCCTTCAAATCTTACCCTTTCTCGGTAATCTGTTTCTTTTAACAGAGAAGTAAAAAAGTAATAGTTTTAAGTTTTCCACCTTTTAGTAAAGTCATCACCACATTCTAAAAACATTTTGTTCAAAGAATACAATAATTCTGTATTTGTCAAAAAAGAAAACAATTAGGAGCCACAAGTGTAACTCAATAGTAGAGCACTTGCCTAGCATATATGAAATCTTCAGTTTATAGCACTGCCATAAAAAAAAGACAAAAGTTATAATGAAATTTAATTTATAAGTCTTTATGAAGAGCTTATAATTGATAAATACTTGTCACTAATGAAGGAGCTAAGAAAAGGAAAATATGTCTGCTGTTAATAATATATTTTTTCTGACTATAATGTTTTCTTTTTTCTCAATAGGAATGAACACCTTGCTTTGTGCTCCCATTCAGATCCAGATGCAACAAAGAGAGGTAGGAATTCATCCAAGTAATGTCATATTTTAATCTCCATAGTTAAAACATACACACAAACAAATAATGGTAATGGAATGATTGAGGGATGACTTAACAAGATGAAAACATAGACTGGGAAAACTTCCCATCTTGGCATTAATAAAAATAGTTAAATCATTGCCTTTTTTTTTTTTTTTTTTTTGATACTAGGGATTGAACCCAGGGGCACTGAGCCACATCCCCAGCCCTTTATTATTTTGAAACAGGGTCTCACTGAGTTGCTTATGTCCTCGTTAAGTTGATGAGGCTAGCTTTAAACTGTCTCAGAGCTGCTGGGATTACAGGCATGAGCCAATTTTCAGTCATTTTAAAGGTTGTGTAATTAACCTTAAAAAAAAATTGGGGGGGTGGGGTACTAGGTATTTCATCCAGGTACTAGGTAGTTAACCACCCAATGTCACTTTCCCACTATGCTACATCCCCATTCCCCTTTTTTTAAATTTTTTGTTTTGAGACAATCTTGCTAAGTTATTTAGGGCCTTGCTAAGTTGCTGAGGCTGGCCTCAAACTTGAAATCCTCCTCCCTCAGCCTCCTGAGTCACCAGGATTATATGTGTGTGTCACTTTGCCCAGCTAACTTTGAATTTTTAATTTTCTGAAACACTAAAATGTAAATTATTCCAATTTTAGAAAAAAATTTAATAGCAAATGTTGTGCAACATACCACACCATTGATAAGTACACCAGTGTCATGAAACCATCACTGAGAATTGTTTATATAGAACATGTTATAAATTACTTTTATAAAATTTTATTTTGGTTTGGTCTTATTTTTTTATTTTTTTATAGTTTCCATTTACAGAACACAACCATGAAAGGAAACATGCAGGTGACCAGACAGTCATCTTTTCAGATGAAAACCAGATGGACCTTACAGCAAGTCATACTGTGATGATTTCCAAAGGCCTTTTAGATCGTACCAAAAGTGAAAAGTCCACCAAGATAGAAACCAGATCCTTTCTGACAAACTTAAAGCACAATGCTGAGGATTCAAGAATAAAAAATGAAAAATTATCAATGGATCAAAACACTTCTTCAGAAAAAAAAAAAAATTCCAGTGATTTTATAAAAAGATTGAAAAGAGGAAAATATAGTGCTTGTCCTTCTACAGGGCCTGATAAAGAAAATTCTGAGATACTTATTTATTCCAAAGAATCAAATACTGCCTCTTCTACACATCAAATGCAAGTCGCTTTTAATGTTGATGAAAATAGTAATAATATGACTAGAATATTCCAAGAACAAGATGAGGGTATGAATTTTACCCAGTGTCATACAGCGAATATTGAGACTCTGGTTCCCACCACTGGTGAGGCCAACTTAAGGGAATTTGAAGGTGATATTACAATTTATCATGATGACTGTATGGACTTGACAGTTAATCGCACTGTACAGATTTTACCCTCAGCAGATAATTTGTCTGAAAAAGAAAATCAAACTCAGAATGTCAAGCTGGATGTTAAAACAGTTTGTGAAACTAAAGTTCCAGGAAAGGAAACATTCTTTCAAAATAAAATTAATGCTAGTGTTCAAGACTCTTCCTTAAACCCTCAAGACAAAATACATATTACCAGAAGTCATATCATAGTGTCAGAAACTCAAACAGTCACACAGACTTCTAATCAAGATACCAGAACATTGACAGCGACTCCGGATATTCAAGGTTATAAGACAGTTTTTTATTCTAGTTGTAATGATGCCATGGAACTAACCAAGTGTCTGTCAAGTTTGAGACAGGAGGAAAATTTGCTGAAGCTTGATGGTAATTCTAAAATGTGTCCCAGTCCAAATGGTATCCCTTTTCTCATAGAGAAAACTATTTATTCAGGAGAAGATAGCATGGACATTACCAAGAGTCACACAGTTGCAATAGATAATCAGATTTTTAAACAAGAGGAGTTAGATGTTCAGGTAGCAGCTGCATCAATATCTGAGAAAAAATTGATGCTCCAAAATCCTATAATTGTGTCAGAAGATGAGGAAATGAATTTAAGTTGTAGCTCAGTTGCTCATATATTTAAGGAAAGATTACAACAGAGCTCAAAAGAGCCTGTATCTATTTCATTAACTGACAAAAAGACTGAACTTTTAGCAGGTAAAGTTGTGGATTTGACTGAAAGTCACACAAGTAATTTAGGAAGTCATGCTCCTCTTGCATCTTATACTCTAATAACAAACAATACTAGTAAATCTCATTCTCAAAGTAAAAGCCCTTTGGATGAATGGGAAAAAAAGATAAAAAATATTACACCATCCCCACAACCAAACATATCTAAAAACATCGTAACTGACATCCAGAGCAAAGAAAAACATCGAAGTGTGAACTTTTTGCCCCGTCTTAATAAAGATCCTCTTCCATCAACTGATTATAATCAGAACACAGCAATAAACCATAATATAGTCTACTCTGGTGCAGTTCTTGATAAACAAGTACTACTAGGAAATAACAGACATACAGTTTTAAGTGAGCAATCTTTGTTTTCTACCTCAAAGCCATTATTTGCAATAGAAGAACAATCTAACAAGAGGAATGTATTAGATGACAAAGCCGTACAAAAACCTGGATTTCTGATGGAAAAGCAAAATGTCAATATTCATGAAAGGAAAAGTTTTGGTGGGCTAAAAATTGATAAGACTATTGTATTTTCAGAGGGTGACGAGAATGATATGGATATCACCAAGAGTTACACAGTAGAATTAAACCATAGACCTTTATTAGACAAAAATGACTCCCATTTGGCAGGAACTTCTAAAACTATTTTGTATGCTTGTGGCCAGGATGACATGGAAATCACTGCAAGTCACACAAGTGTCTTAGGATGTAAAACTCACTTAGCAAGTGAAAAAACTAGTGGGCCAGTGGATAAAACTGTAATGTTTGTAGATAATCATGATGAACTAGAAATGACAAAATCTCACACTGTTTTCATTGACTACCAAGCACAGGAGAGAACTGGACTTCCAGACACATCTACCTTTGAATTAGCTAAAAGGAAAAGCCTACAAAAATCAGAAGTGGCATCTTCTAGTGAAGAAGACAAGGTTTTCTTTTTGGAAAACAATGAAAGTGATAATCCAACAGCAAAAGGCAGTCAGCTAACAGGACTGAAGAAATTGTCTAATGTTGGTCCTATAGAGAAAGGTGTAGCAGTTAAAGCTGATGATAGCATGGAAGTATCTAAATTAACCACTCGGGAAAATATCAACAATGTGGAAAAGGCTGGATTTGTGAATGAATATTTATCAGGTAAAAGTCAGAGAAGAAAAAGCCTTATGCTCAAAAATGACAAGACCATTGCATTTTCAGAAAATGGTAAAAATGAGGGGAATATTACCCAGAGTTGCATGGTGGAAAAGAGTAATAAAAGTGCTCTGGAAGACAAAGAAGACTTTAATTTGGTGCCTTTGACAGGAACATCTAAAACTATTTTGTATTCATGTGGGCATGATGACATGGAGATCACTGCAAGTCACCCAACGGTCTCAGATTGTAAAACTGTCTTACCTGATGAAATTACTAGGCCTGTGGACAAAACTGTAATGTTTGTAGATAATTATAATGACCTAGAAGTCACCAGGTCCCATACTGTTTTCATTGATTGTCAGGCCACAGAGAAAATGCTTCAAGAGTACCCTAAATTTGGAATTCCTAAGGATGATAATTATGTTCAAGAAACCACTAATAAACAAGTGTTAGCTATAGAAAACAAAATTGTTCTTCACCCTAAGCAAAAAAAACATCATACGATACCCCTTAATCCTACTAATACATTTTCTGGGAATCATAGTGAAATGGAAATCAAATTCTGTAAAGCAGCTATGGATGAGGAGGTTATAGAGAACGCTGTAGATCAGGCCTGTACATTGGAAAAGGCCGAAATTGAAAGCTGTCACTTAAATAGTACAGACAGAAGAAATGTGGATTTTATAAGTAGTCCTATAGCTGCTGTTTATGGGTCCCTCGATAAGTCTGCCTGTTTACCTAATGATATTTCCTCTAATATTACATTCTTACTCAATAAAGAGAAAGCCAACAATTGCCCAGTGCAAAATGATCTTGCTTATGCAGATGATTTAGCCAGTAAATATTACTTGGACTCTAAGGGACTGCCTTTCTCTGCTTCTTTGCTAGAGAAGAAAGAAACTATTTGGACTGATTCCAGAGGACAGTTAACCTGTTCCATGACCCTGCTCAAAGATGAAGATCTGATCAAGAAGCCTCAAAATCTATCAGCTAATCAAACTTTAGTATATAGTCAAAATCTGGGGGAAATAACTAAACTTAATTCAAAGCGTGTATCTTTTAAGCTTCCAAAGGATCAAATAGAGGCCTTTGTTGATGATATCTGTGATGCTTCTCAGCCTCATCTCTCAACCCAACAACTTCCATTAACTCAAAACAGACAGAATGTTATTTGTAAATCTGAAGCAATACTGTCTAAAAGTGGAAATAAGAGCTTAAATTTTATTATAGAAAATTCTTCACCCACATATGAAAATGGGTCTAAAATACTCAATAATGAGAAACAGTTTGCTATAGCCTGTAAAAAAGAAATACAAGAAAATAATCAAACAGCAAAATGTAATACAGCTGTAGATTTTCACAGTAACTCAAACTCAGCTACACAAATCATTCAGACTCATACCAATGCTAGAAATGCATCAGATCATATAATTACTTCTAATGTTCCATGTATTAGTAGTATCAAACCAAATATGAATAATTTAAATGGAAAAACTGAAGAGTTTTTAGATTCTCAAACTGTTCCTACACTACCTCCTCAAGAATTATTACTTAAATTAGGAGGCAAGGCACATGATAATGTGAGTGTAGTGCAACCTACAGAAATACATAATATTAACATTGTCTCCACCAATGCTAAAGATAATTGGGATGAAGAAAATAAAAATTTTCAAAATGGAGCTGACACTACCTCTGTACCATTGAAGACAGTTGTTAAAGATAAAATGAGGAGGTGTTCTTTGGGAATCTTTTTGCCTAGATTGCCAAATAAGAGAAATTGTAGTGTCACTGGTATTGATGACCTGGAGCAGATTCCAGCAGACACAACTGATATAAATCACTTAGAAATTCAGCAAGTCTCCAGAAAAGATTCAGACATTGGGTCTGTTGCAGCTAACCTGAACTTAAGTCCATCTGAATATATAAATGAGGAAAATCTCCCTATATGTCCTGGTGAGATTAATTCCTCAGACACTATTAGCATAGAAATTGAGGAAAAGTCTTTGATTGAGACATACCAAAAGGAGATTTTACCATCTGAAAATAAAATGGAAGAAACCTGCAATAATCAAAAAAGAACCTGGGTGCAAGAAGATAATGATGTGCAGAAGGAGAAAAAAATCATAAAATATGATATTGAGCTTAGTGATACTACTCAAGATCAGGAGGTAAGCTCTGTCTTGAACTGAGGAATGTCAGTAAGACTTGGATTTCTTTTTTTAAGCTTGTGGGTATTCTTGAGTTTTAATTTTAGTCTTAAAATGTATTTAGTTATAGGTCTGGAAAAATGTTCTTATATAAAATCTTCAAGATTAACTGTCAGCTAGACTTTAACATAATTTATAGTGACAAATAGCACAAAAAATGAAAGTAGTAAAATGAACCAGTGTTAAAACTGTATAATTAAGAATTTTGTTACGGCTGGTAATTTATCAGTGTTGTTTTGTATGTGAGAATCTCTTAGGAGCATAAATAAAATTTGAAAAGTCTTCAGTGTTATAAATATTTGGGGAGTAAAAAGCATTTCTATTTAAACTGTGAAAAGAAAAGGGTGACTGAATTTTCTTGGATAATGAAGATATGTAGAAGCTGAGAGTCCATTTCTTTAATGGGTAGGAGAATGCCCAGGTCAAACTTTTAAGTTGAGAAATATTGATTTGGATAATTAGAGGGAACAAAACCTATCACTCAAATCTAGTTTTATAGGTGGGGAAAAGATTTAAAAGCTTAAATTATTGGGCTGGGGTTGTAGCTCAGTGGTTCGATCTTCAGCACCACATTTAAAAAATAAATAAAAATAAAGATATTGTGTCCATCTACAACTAATAAAAGTTTACATGCTAATATTTAGGCAAGGAATATATTGTCTTCAAAAAACATATAAGTAAGTAGGTATAGATGATACTGTGAAGTCAAATGATGAAAAAGCAGGACCAAATAATTTATTTGATGTTAGTCAAGGGTAGGTCTTATTAGATGAGAAGGAAAGTACTAAGTTTTCTGTATTCTAGCTAATGCCATATGCATAGTCAATATTCCAGTCTGGTATTCTGCAATGATATAGCCAGGCTATTTGTGGCTAGTAGTTGAATAATTGGATAGGTTGACATTTAGTAGCTTTTAGGCTCTGGCTATAACATCTAAGAAACAGTTTATGAAATATGATGCATGAAGTTATTTACATGTATTTTTAAATTAGTTTTAACTAAAGAACTAGATTGCCTGATATTCTAATTATTTTTTGAGATATTTCATATGAATTATAGGTAATTTTATGTCGGTAATATAGGTAAATTTTAAGTACTGTTTTAGTGTTCATCACTTAATCATTATAAGTATAATGTCATAACTATTCTGATGATGTTTCTTAATTCATAATTTCAGATTTTTGATCATCGTAATGAAGGGGATATAGATAAAAATGTTAACAGTGTATTGATAAAAAGCCTGAGTAGAACCCCATCTAGTTGCAGCAGCTCTCTGGATTCAATCAAAGCTGATGGGACCTCCCTGGATTTCAGTAGTAAGATCTTTATGAAAGCTAAATTAATAACAGTCAAATACATCCTGGACTAATTATAAATCTATTTCATTTAGGAAATATTTGAATGTTGCATGTCTTTTCAGCATTATAAAGTTTATAAAGTGTAAAAGTAAAATAGTATTTAGTTTACTTTTAATTCTTAGTTATTTTAGTGAATCAAGAATTGCTATGCTATAGAGGAATAGAGTTTTCCTTCAGAGGCTTATAACTATTGGGGAAACAGTGAATGAAGCCTTAAAAACTACAACACATTTGCCATGCTTAATGACTGCCTTCTCAGAAACATCACAATGGATGGCTTCAAGATCATGAAAACAAATCTGAAAGATAACAAAAATAAGTTCACAATTTAGATTTGACCTGTTTATCACATGAAGCTGCTTTACTTCTAGCATACCGCAGTAATCAAATGGAATCACGGTTTCTCCGAGACACTATTTGTGAAGAGAGCTTGAGAGAGGTATGTTAAAAATATTTCTCATTTGTAATGTACTGATTTTCTTGTCTTTTTAAAAAAATTCTAAGATTTCAAATGTACGGAAGACTTGTTTTCTTTGTTCTGGTCTCAACATGGCAGTTAATTACATGCAATATTTTTAGTCTACTTTTTGCTGCTATAATTGAATACTACAGGCTGGATAGTTTATTTTTCATTTTATTATATTTTTTTTGTGCTCAGGCATACTCCCACTGAGCTACATCCCCAACCCAAGACTGGGTAATTTATAAAGAGGTTTGTTTAGCTCATGGTTCTGTAAGCCTGGAAAAGCATGACCCTGGTATCAGCTCAGCATCTAGTGAAGAAGGCCTTCTTGCTAGTGGGGACTCTGAAGAGTCCTAAGGTAGTTCAGGACATTACATGGCGAGACAGCAAGCTCACTAATGTGTTCCTCTTTTCCTCTCATTAAGCTACTAATGCACTCATGGAGGCCACAGCCTCATGACTTTATCTAATCCTTATTACTTCTCAACTGCTTCATTTCGAAATATCATTAGCATATAACTTAGAGAATTAAGTTTCACTGTCAGTTTTGGAGGGGAAAAACACGCAGACAATAGCAAGTAGAAACGAAGATTTAATACATATGTTTTGGTTTCTGTAAATTCTATTCTTATTCTTTCAGGTTATTCAATAAGAATCTTAGATAATCGCAGATATCTGCTTGTGGATAGCCTGCTAATATGGATAATTTCATGAATATTTTCAAAGTAGAATCAAATGAGGTGATCTTGCAATTTTTTTTCTTTTCTCAGAAACTCAAAGATGGAAGAATAACAATAAGGGAGTTTTTTATACTTCTTCAGGTCCACATCTTAATACAAAAACCCCGGCAGAGCAATCTCCCAGCCAAAGTAAGTACAATTTCCTGGCAAAATAATTGTATCCGTAAAAAGAAAAAAAAAAAAATATATATATATATATATATATAAAAAATATTTTTTTTCTTTTTTTACTAAACTGCATAAGAAAAAAAAGGAAGCATTAATTTTATTCTGTTTTAAAGAAAGTTTTTCTAAATAAAGTGTGGAGGTGCATGCCTGTAATCCCAGTGGCTTGGGAGGCTGAGACAGGAGGATCACGAGTTCAAAGCCAGCCTCAGCAATGGTGAGGGGCTAAGCAACTCAGTAAAACCCTGTCTCTAAATAAAATATAAAATAGGGCTGGGGATGTGGCTCCAAGTCTGGCAAACATTTACAAAATCAGTGTATCCTTAGCCACAAAGAAATCTAACAAATTAAAAACAATGGAGATTTTATAGACCACAGTGTTGGATCTTAATCCATTAAAATTAGATTAAAAGGACTAAAATATTCTCAGCTTCCTAGAAGTTAAGAAACACATTACTGGTGCACACTTGTAATCCCAGTGACTAACTGAGGCAAAAGGATGGCAAGTTCAAAGTCAGCCTCAGCATCTTAGTGAGACCCTATCTCAAAATGAAAAATAGAAAGGGCTCATAAAGTATTCCTGGGTTCAATCCCCAATACCAAAAAAAAAAAAAAGTGGGGAGGGCGGGGGAAGAAAGGAAAGAAACACACTTAGATTAGGGGTGTATCCCAGTGGTAGAGTACTTACATGGCATACACAAGGCCCTGAGTTTGATCCCTAGCACTGCAAATAATGAAACACTCTTTGATCAAAGAAGAAATAAAAACTGTTTAGAAAGCAAATAACAGAGAATATCTAATGCCGAATCTATTGGACATAAAGCATAACTTAGCAGGAAATTAAAAACTTGGCTGTTATAGAAAAGAATCTAAAAATAAAGATTTTTTGTTGTTTGGGGGTTTTTGGTGGGGGGTACTAGAGATTGACCACTTTACCACTTAGGTACATCCTAAGCCCTTTTTATTTATTTATTTATTTTTCCAAAGGATATAGACATAAAATGTTGTTATCTTTCCATAAAGATTTCGGGGGCTGGGGTTGTGGCTCAGTGGTGGAGTGCTCGCCTGGCATGTACGGGGCGCTGGGTTCTATCCTCAGCACCACATAAATGTAAAATAAAGATATTGTGTCTACCTAAAACTTAAAAATAAATAAGTAAAGATGGCATTTCGCATTACCAGCAATATATAAGGCCATTTCCCCATAGCATCACTAATAGATCATCAAGCTTTTGAATTTTTACCAATCTGATAAATAAGAAATGGTGTCTCAACAACTTTAATTTGCATTCTACTTACTACAAGTGAATTTAAACATCTTTTAGGGACCAATTTTTTTTTGATTTTTGATTGTCTCTGGTGGGTATTTCTGCTCCCCGTGCAATTTTTTTTTAATTCTAATTAGTTATACATGATAGTAGAATGAATTTTGACACATCATATATAAATGGAGAATATAACTTCTCATTTGTCTGGTTGTACATGATTTAGAGTTATACAGGTCATGTAATCATGTATGCACATAGGGTAATAATATCTGATTCATTCTACTATCATTCCTACCCCTATGCCCTGCCTCCCTTCACTTCCCTCTGTCTAGTCCAAAATACCTCTATTCCTTCCAACCCCCCACACATATCTTATTGTGAATTAGCACCTGCATATCAGAAAAAACATTTGGCCTTTGGTTCTTTGAGACTGGCTTATTTCATTTAGCTTAATATTCTCCAGTTCCATCCATTTACCAACAAAAGCCATAATTTCATTCTTCTTTAAGGCTGAGTAATATTCCTTTATATATACTACAGTTTTCTTTATCCATTCATCTGTTGAAGGACACCTAGGTTGGTTCCATAGTTTAGCGATTGTGAATTGAGCTGCTATAAATATTAGGGTGGCTGCATCATTGCAGTATGCTGATTTTTAAGTCCTTTGAGTGTAAACTTTGAACACTGTCCAAGAACAATGGGAATCAAAAAGAGTAGAATGACTAGGTCAAATGGTTGTTCCATTCCAAGTTTTCTCAGAAATATCCACACTGCTTTCCATAATAGTTGCACCAGTTTGCAATCCTATCAGCAATATATGAGCATACCTTTTCCCCCACATCCTCACCAACATTTATTGTTGCTTGTGTTCTTAATGATTGCCATTCTGACTCGAGTGAGATGGAATCTCAGTGTAGTTTTGATTTGCATTTCTTTAATTGCTAGAGATGATGCAGCCCATTTTGTTTTTTTTAAGTAGCCGAAGTTCTTATTAAATTGCCTAGTTTGGCCTTGAACTTGTAATCCTCCTTGCCTCAGCCACCCAAGTCACTGGAATTACAGTTGTGCACCTCTGTGCCTGGAAAAAGAAATTTCTAATACTCAGTTTAAGAAATTAGAAAATGAACAAGCGGGGCAGTGGTGCAGGTTTATAATCCCAGCAGCTCAGGATGCTAAGGCAGGAGGATTTCGAGTTCAAAGCCAGTCTCAGCAAAAGCGAGGAGCTGAGCAACTCAGTGAGACCCTGTCTCTAAATAAAATACAAAATAGGGCTGGGGATGTGACTCAGGTTAAGTGCCCCTGAGTTACACCCCTAGTAAACACCCCCCCCCCCCCGCACACTCAAATAGGCATTCTGAAATTCAAATTATTTCTCACACATGGTTTTGTTATGGTGAGATCTCAATAAGTCACCAGGTTGATCTTTTTTTTTAGTTGTAGATGTACAGAATACCATTATTTTGGTTATTTATTTTTATGTGGTGCTGAAGATCGAACCCAGTTTTTCACACATGCAAAGCAAGCACTGAGCCACAACCGCAGCCCCCACCAAGTCCATCTTAAAGCAGGAGATGAAACATTTATTCACCAGCTGGTGGGCCAAGGGGCAGACTGTAAGTCTACACCCTTTGACCCCCTCAGGGGTTTGAGTACACCTAAGTGAAGCATTCAATACATTAATCATATGTGGCTATTGCTATGATTCAAGACCATAAACAAACATCATGAGATCTAAAATCATAAACAGAAGGGGAAGTGGGTCAAAAGGACCCTAGTTGATTACAAGTTAAAGAATGGTTACTAACATCTAGACAATCATTCTCTGACATGGAACACTGTCCAAGAACAATGGGAATCAAAAAGAGAACAATTTATATAAGAATTGCCATTTTGTATTGCCAAATATGGTGTGCTAAGCAACTGTTGATAGGTACAGAGGTGGGATGTTCACATGGAAGAAGCATTTTTTACATGACATGGAGTCTCAGGGTAAAATGGAATCTGTTTGGTCATTGCCCATATAGCCTGGCCCATAACAGTTTGATCCTCAGGATACCAGTTCTGAGGAAGTGATTTATTTATTTATTTTTTTCCAGTTTACTACAAACACATCGCCTACTCCAGAAGACCTGATATTAAGACAGTATGTTTATGGACCCAAGATACAGATTTATAGAGAGGATTGTGAAATTCTTCGCCAAAAGATAGAAGAGTAAGAAAGTTTTAACTTTTTTCTACGTGGGTTTTGTCTTTGTTTAACAAGCAAGTAGTATATGTGGCAAGGTTTTGATTAGAATAACAGTGGCATGGAAAAAAATTAATGGCATTAACACGGGTACAGAAGTTTGGCTTTGACCTAAAACACAATTCAGTCCTGGCCAGACGTGGTGGTGCATCCCTATAATCCAAGCAGCTTGGGAGGCTGAGACAGGAGATTTGCCAGTTCAAAGCCAACTTCAGCAACATCGAGGCACTAAGCAACTCAATGAGACCCTGTCTCTAAATAAAATAGAAAATAGGGCTGGGGACGTGGCTCAGTGGTTGAGTACCCCTGAGTTCAATCCTCGGTACCAAAAAATATATAAATAAATTCAGTCCTGGCTAAATTGCTAGCTGTGTAACCTTGGGCAAGTCATTTAACCTTCATTTCCACATCCATAAAGTAGGGATAATAATACCTACTTAGCAGGTCAAAATGAATATAAATGAACATTTATAGTATATATGAAATGCTTTCATACTATTTTTACCACAAAGTAAGTCCTCCATAGAAATAAACAGTAATAATTAGGTTATGATATCATGAATTCATTGCAATAGAAATCTTCAAAAGAAGATGTATATGTAGTGCCTAAAAATCAAGTTTGCCTTTGGGTTTCTAATTTTATCACAATGGTTCTTGATTTGTATATAGAATACAGTTAAATTACAGTGCTTTTTTTGTTTGTTTTTGGTTCTGGGGATTGAACCAAGGGGCACTTTGCCACTCAGCTACATTCTAGCCTTTTTTATTTTTCATTTGAAACAGGGTCTTCCTAAGTTGCTGAGGGTCTCACTGAGTTGCTGAGGTTAGCCTGAAACTTGCAATCCTCCGGCCTCAGCCTCCCAAGTCCCTGGCGTTATAGGTGTGCCCCACCATGCCTGGCATGCTTTGTTTTTTTACACTGATTCCTCAGGCAAATTAGAATTGGCAATTCAAAATAATGTATGTTTGGTATAATTATTAAGGACTATTCAATCAAATTTGACCTAAACTAACAAATAGAAAAGAAATAAAATAATCTTTAGGTATTATGTAGTTTTGTGCCAGGCGCAGTGGTGCATGCCTATAATTCCAGTGGCATAGGAGGCTGAGGCAGAGGCTTGCAAGTTCAAGGCCAGTCTCAGCAACTTAGTGAAGCCCTAAGCAACTCAGTGAGACCCTGTCTCTAAATAAATACAAATTTTAAAAAAGGGCTGGAGATAGTTCAATCCCTGGTACCAGAAAAAAAAAAAAAAGAATTATGTAGTTTTAAAAGTAAAAATTTATGATACTATTCATTGATAGTACATCAAATTTGCCTGATTCTGCTTTGTTCATTCAACAAATACTTCTTGAGCACCTACTGTGTGCTAGGGACTATACTAAGTACTGGGGTTCATCACCGAATAAATTATTTTTTTTTTTAAAGAGAGAGTGAGAGAGGAGGGAGAGAGAGAGAGAGAGAGAGAGAATTTTCAATATTTTTTAGTTCTCGGCGGACACAACACCCTTGTTGGCATGTGGTGCCGAGGATCGAACCCGGGCCGCATGCATGCCAGGCGAGCGCGCTACCGCTTGAGCCACATCCCTAGCCCTCACCGAATAAATTATAAGAATTTCTTTCTTTCTTTTTTTTAATGTGGTGCCGGGGATTGAACCCAGGGCCTTGTGCATGCGAGGCAAGTGCTCTACCAACTGAGCTATATCCCCAGCCCCTCTTTTTTTTTTTTTTTTTAACATTTATTTTTTAGTTGTAGGTGGACACAATACATTTATCTTACTTTTATGTGGTGCTAAGAATTGAACCCAGTGCCTCATGCATGCTAGACAAGCACTTTTCCTCTGAGCCACAATCTCAGCCCCAATGATAAGAATTTCTTAGATTCATGTTTAAAGAATGTAATAGGATATTGCACTCAGTTGGCAATAAATTTAGATATGCTTTGCTGTTTAATTTTGCACTTACATGCCTACATATGAAATCTTACTTCAATAGAAATTTATTTCCTTCACCTACCAACAAGAAACCAATATATATTGACATATAATATCTTTACTATTTTTATAAATCCTATTCTATAAAAGTAAGATATAACTTTGAGCTGAAGTAGGAACTTTTAGTGACTATAACTTCATAGTAATTATACTTTGACAAGCTTTAAGAATATAAGCAACATGTTTTCACTGGGGAACAAGTTGATACATTGAAATAAGAATTTTTGTGTGTGAAATTTTTCTGATTTATGCATTCTTGAACTGCTCTTCAAGTGTTGAATAATAATCAGACTGGCCCTTTTCTTGAGTGATTTCCCCCCTTTTTTATGTAGCAATAAACATAAAGATTTAAATTTAAGCATGATAGATCTGAGCTATTTCAATTAAAATGACTTCTGAATCCTGTGCTAATGAATTTTTCTGTCTTTCAGACTAAAGGTTTCTTCATTGACCCAAGATAAACTGTTGACTGATGTCAATAGGAACTTGTGGGAAAAAATGAGACACTCCTCTGATGAAGAGGTACTCTGGTCTCTAAGTGGGAATCAGTGCAGACACTTTAAACAATGATTATTATGAAATAATTGTTATTTGATAATTGGTGATGTAATATGCTACCAAGGTCTTGTTTAATTATATACAAGTAATTGTTTTTTTTTTTTTGTTTTTTTTTTTAAGAGAGAGAGAGGGAGAGAGAGAGGAGAGAGAGAGAATTTTAATATTTATTTTTTTATTTTATCGGTGGACACAACATCTTTGTTTGTATGTGGTGCTGAGGATCGAACCCGGGCCGCACGCACGCCAGGCGAGCGCGCTACCGCTTGAGCCACATCCCCAGCCCTACAAGTAATTGTTAATATGTAATCTTTTCTCTCTTTTGGGGTACTGGGGATTGAATCCAGAGGCACTTAACCCCTGAGCCACATTCCCAGCCCTTTTTATTTTTTGAAACAGGGTCTCACTAAATTGCTTAGGGCCTTGCTAAGTTGCTGTAGCTGGCTTTGAAATCATGATCCTTCTGTCTCAGCCTCCCAAGTTGCTGGGATTACAGGCATGTGTCACCATGCCCAGCGATGTATAATCTTTTCAAACTCGTAATAATCACTATATGTAATAATCACTAGATGCAGTGGTGCACACTTATAAACCCAATGGCTCAGGAGACTGAGGCAAGAGGATCAAAAGTTCAAGGCCAGCCTCAGCAATTTAGCAAGACCCTAAGTAACTTAGTGAGAACCTGTCTTAAGATTTAAAAAAAGAGGTTGGGGATGTAGCTCACTGGTAAAGTACCTCAGTACCAAAAAAAACACCTATGATGATTAATTTAATATGTGAAATGTATTTGAAGTTTCCTTGTTTGCCTTTCACTTACTTATATTTAAATGAAGAAAAGTTCAACTTTAATTGGTTAAATAACAAATGACCCATTTCATGTGTACGCTAATGTTGAAAGTGAACCTGTCATTTTCTGATTTTTAATGTGACTAAATAAATTACAGGCAGCAATCAAAACTAAAATATTTGGTTCCTTTTTTAAGCAGCTATATGGATTTAAATTTCCAAGTGATCAGTGTCCTGTTTTAGGAATCAGAATCTAGATCAGGCAAAGCCTAGCATGTGGCAGCTGAATGAACTTCTGGATCAGTTACCTTTTCTGACTGGTTTGTTTTAGTGCATTGTACTCCTTAACTCTCCCTTACAGCTGAAGGCCTTTGGATTTTACATTAACAAAATAAAATCATGTGTTACCAAGGTAACTAAAGTCTTCACTCACCAAGGAAAAGTGACTCTGTACAGCAAGCTGGTGCAGTCAGCCCAGGTAATTTGAGACAATTAACAGCATTAAAAAAAAAAAAAAACTATTAAAATTACTTGTTGGGCATGGTGGTGCATGGCTGTAATCCTAGTGGTTTGGGAAGCTAAGGCAGGAGGATCACAAGTTCTAGACTAGCCTTGGCAATTTAGCAAGACCTGTCACAAAATAAAAAAGTAGAAAAGAGCTGGGGATGTAGCTTGTGGTAAATTACCCCTGGGTTCAATTCCCAGTGTAACACAAAGGAAAAAATAAAAGTACTTTCTAGTGGTGTGGAGTATGAAGAATGTTCCTTAGGAGATATGTGAATGAAATTTGAGTGAGAACAACTGTTCTTAAGAGAGCAGGCTCAGTCAAAAGTGACAAGTCTTGTTATCTTCAGTAACTGGAAAGTAGTTACTAATATGGGCTTATATCTCAGATATAGTTATTACACATTGAAATAAAATATATATAGGATTTAGGTCTCCCATTGCTAAAGACTATAAAATGGAAAGTATAGTATATAGACTATAGTTTTGTCTTCTTCACCTTCATACCCAGTTGTATATGTGTGTCCATGAAGCTTAAAATAGCATTTTCAAAATGATTATCCTCCCATTGGCAAATAAATATGAAAAATATTGCATACAATATAATCTTAGAGAAATATAAATTTTAAAGTCTAAAAATAAAAATGATGTCATGGATCAGTTTTTCCCTTATTTGACCATAGAAAAAATTTTAAAGAACTTTTTTTTTTCAAGGTAACATTAATATCCCATATTCCATGAAACACATATACAAATACTTGAATAAAGGAAAATACAGCCAAGCTCCATGGGGTATGCCTATAATTCCAGTTACTTAGGAGACTGAGGCAGAAAGATTACAAGTTTGAGGCTAGCAAGTTAGACTCTGTCTCAAAAAAGGCTGGGGAATGTATCTCAGTGCCAAAGCACCTTAACTTTAATCTCTAGCAGCTAAATAAATAAATAAGTAAAAGAGAATACAAATTAATTTGTATTTATCTCCTTTTAAAATTTCATTTATTTTTAAGTCTAGATTGAAGGTTTGGCCATTTTAAGATTTACCCACTTATAGTCAAGACGTAACAGTTATGTCAACAACTTACACTATTTATAATGTTTTGTTTGGAAGTTTAACCTTACAATTATAATATTTTGTGTTTAGAATGAGAGGGAGAAACTTCAGATAAGGATAGATGAGATGGATAACATACTCAAGAAGATCAATAATTGTCTGTCTGAAGTGGAAATAGGTAAAGTATTTTAAATACTTTTCTAGGGGTTTGGATATTTAACTTAGTGGTAGCACTCTATAGAGTCATACCAGAATTGTAATGAATACTTTTCCGAAATCATATTTAATGCTTTCCTACAATAGAGATGGTTTGTCTTTTGTGTGTGTGTGTGTGGGTGGCACTGTGGATGAAATCCAGGGCCTTGTGCATGCAAGGCAAGCACTCTACCAACTGAGCTACATCCCCAACCTGGTTTGCCTTATTATGCCGACACTTATTAGCACCTTGAAACCTTAGATTAAAGCAAATTAAAACTCCTTTACTATGGTCATCCGTAACACAGTCAACAAGAGATACCCAAGATGAGTCCCTGTGGAAAACTCTTGATAATCTAGACTATAATATTGTATTTTTTAATAGATAAGTCCATCTCATTTGAAAATTGGTGGGGATGTAGCTTAGTGGTAGAACACTTGCTAGCAATGCAAGGCCCTATCTTTGATCCATAGCAGCATACACAACAAGAAAATTACCTAGGTGCAGTGGCGCGTATCTGTAGTATCAGTGACTCTGGAGGAGGATTACAAGTTGGAGGCCAATCTAGGCAACTTAGCAAGACCCTACCTCAAAATAAACAGGGCTAGGGACGTAGTTCAGTAGTAGAGTGTTCCCGGGTTCAATCCCAAGTACCATCAAAAGAAAGAAAATTGTCTTAACCTTTCAGTTTGGCTTCTCATAATCTTCACTTGTTAATTTTGCTTTCCTTAAGCTGCTTTCTCAGAGATCTCAAAATTCCACATAATCATCAAATTTGGTTACTCTTGGCCCTTAACCATCTGACTTGTTTCAGCTTTTGCTGCTGATGATTGTTCATTTCTTCCTGAATCTTTCATCTATCTTAACCTCTATGATATTGCACTGCCTTAACCCTATTGTTTTCTCCGGGCTATTCCTTTTAATTCCTCTGATGGCTTCTTTTTCTCTAACCCCTTGTGTGGAATTTAGATTTTGTCATCCCTTTTATATTCACTCCTCTAATGTTTTCATCTGCTTTAATAATTATGTAACTAATTCCCAAATTTTCAGTTAAATTCATCAAATATTTTTTGAGCACCTACTTCATGCCATATACTCTGCTTATCATCAGGGGAAAAAAATAAAGAAATGATACAGGTTTTGCCCTCAAGTACCTTATAATCATTTTGGCTAAGCACATCTTTAACCTATTTGAGTTTTAGATTATGTAATTTCTGTCTTCTTACTGAACTTCAGTGCAACAATATCCTTAAGCACCTTAAACTCTATGTGAATAAATAATCTTCTCCCATCTCCAAAATCTAATTCAAAAACTTGTTTCTTGTCCTCTGAATTCCAGCCCAAACTACATACATTTCTATGTAGTTATGCCATTTTCTGTTTTTGTTGTTATCGTTTTATGGTGTGGAGAATCAAGCCCAAGGCTTTGGGCATGCTAGACCTAAAGTACTCTACCACTGAATTGTATCTCTAGTCCCCTGCCACTTATTTTTTTGTATGTATGATCTTGTTTTATTTTTTTGCTTGGCTTTTGAGGTACTAGAGATTGAACTCAGGGATGCTCTACCACTGAGCAGTATCCCCAGCCCCCTCCTTTTTTTTTTTTAACTCTTTTAAAACAGGGTTTTGCTCAATTTCATAGGCTGGCCTCGAATTTGCAATCTTCCTGCCTCTGGGATTACAGTCATGCACCACTATGCCTACCTGCCAGTTTTTTTTGGCTAATACATTCTCCTGTTTTCCATGAAGGGAAATACTCTCCATCTCTTTAGCTTCTGTGGCTGTCACTTGTATTGTAGTTATTTTGTTCAGTTTATCTTCCTAATTATTAGGTACATGGAAGCCAAAATCAGCTTTTATTTTTCTCCAGGTCCTTAGTACTATTAGTACAATGCTATATATAGTATAAGTGCCTGTACATGTGTTCTGCATTAAATTGATAATGAATATATGAATTCCATAGTCTTAGACCGTCCCACTCTTTTGCTGATTATCTTTCTATTTCACAAAATATTATTTATTGAGCAAATTTGCTGAGTACCTGCCGTGTGTCATATACAGTACTTAGAGCTAAGAACACACTGGTGATCAAACACAAACATTAGTTCTTCTTTTATGGGGCTTCCAGTCCAAAAGAGAATATAGTCATTAAGTGAATAATTTTATAATAAATTCTGAGGAAAAAGTTACAAGGTGCTATTGAGGTCCTGTAATAGAAATCTGACATAGTCAAAAGGTCATGGTAGCATTCCTGCTAAAGAAGTGACATTTAAGCTAAGATATGAAGGATGAATGGGAGTCTCAAAGTGAAAAGGATAGAAAGAGCAGCCTGTTCAATGAATAACAAAAAGTAGAAACCCTATGAGGAAAAAAATGTGCCAATTACAAGTGTTTGAAAATAAGGCCAGTATAACTAAAAAAGAGCAAAAGGCAACATAACCTGAGAAGAGCTATAGATATCACTAGGGACCAGGTCTAATTGGGCCTCTTAAGGAATTCTGAGTTTTTCTAAGAGAAAGGAACAGTCATTTGACAGGTCTTAATTAAGCACTGGCTACTGGCTAGAGATTGGATTTGAGTAGATCAAGAGTAAATACAACCAGTTAATCCATTATTGGACTAGTAACAGAGCCAGGTGTGGTGGCACATGCTATAATCCCAGTAGCATGGGAGGCTGAGACAGGAGGATCGCAAGTTCAACACCAGCCTCAGCAACTTAGCAAGGCTCTAAGCAACTTAGCGAGAATTTGTCTCTAAATAAAATATAAAAAGGGCTGGGGATGTGCCTCAGTGCTTGAGTGTCCCTGAGTTCAATCCCCAGTACCAAAAAAAAAGAAAGAAAGAATAGAAGCTTATTTTAAGAGATGCTGGTAATGGTGAAGAAAAAGATATCTTTGAGGTAAGATCTTAACTTGGATAAACTTAATATGGGGAGAAGGGGCTGGGATTTGTGGCTTAGTGGTAGCGTGCTAGCGTGGCATGCATGAGGCACTGGGCTCGATTCTCGGCACCACATACGAATAAATAAAATAAAAAGGCATACCTTTAAAAAAAAAAATGGTGAGAGAGGAGAGTTTTTAGAATGATTCCCAGGTTTCTAAAACAAATTGTGTGACCATCCTCAATGCATATTTACTCCCATCCCTTCCCCAGTAAATTTCCCAAGATAAAAAAAAAAATGTTGTGTTTATATATATATTTTTTTTAAAGAGAGAGTGAGAGAGGAGAGAGAGAGAGAGAGAATTTTTTTTTAATATTTATTTTTTAGTTCTCGGCGGACACAACATCTTTGTTGGTATGTGGTGCTGAGGATCGAACCCAGGCCGCACGCATGCCAGGCAAGCGCGCTACCACTTGAGCCACGTCCCCAGCCCGTGTTTATATATTTTTTACTTAGTCCATATATGTTGCCTAACAACTATTATGTTCTTGCAAATTATATATATAAATAGTGGACCATGAGAAGATAGAAGATGCTAATAGAGAACCTTGCTTTGTGGCTCAGAGCTCACTTCTTTGCCACCAGATAAGTGTATGTCTTCATATGAAATTATAATTATAGTTTAGTGCTTTATAGTTTAGTACAGAGAATGAATGGTATTTGTGAAATACCTGCAACACTTCACTTTGTGACCATCTATTTTTTTCATATCTGATATTTAATAAATTATCTTGATTGACTTATTCTAATGCATGCTATTTACTTTTAGAAACTAAGAATTTGGAAGATGAGGAGAAAGACAATCCTGTGGAAGAATGGGATTCTGAAATGAGAGCTGCAGAGAAAGGTAACTTTTTGAATTATTTAAAGATATTTTAAAAATTTTTTAAAAGCCCTTTGAGTTTGTTTGTTAATGTATTTAAATGAGATTAAGTCTGAATTTTCAACAAAACAGATGATTTTTGTGAAGGTATTAAGGTATTATGTTTTGTTTTCTTTTCATAGAACTGCAACAGTTAAAAACAAAAGAAGAGGAGCTTCAAAGGTCAGACTTTAATCCAAGTGTTAGACAATCTAATGCTGAACTCCAGAAAGCTAATGACTTCCTACTTCCAGAGAGTCACAAGAATTATGAACATGAGTCTTGACTAAAGGTGACTTAGAGCTTCTGCTGCACTGAACTGGACCCTAAAGCACATCATAGTCATCAGTATTTTCAAAGCCCTTACTATTTATAGGGCATTAATCCAAAGCAGGATTTCTCAAGCTTGAATTCTATCAGGATCCTTTTAAAGAAAATAAACCAAGAATTAAACTATTTTTATATTTGTACTTAAATAAGTATATGTAAGTATGAAATGAGGCATATATTTCTTAGGCATGTGAATCTTGCTCAACTTTAAGACGAAAAGAAATTAAATCATGACAAAACCAATAAAAGTCCAGTTGACAACATTAACAGGTGGTAATGTTTGAAATTAAATCAATGCTAACAAAATGACTAACAAAAGGTCAGGTTCTATTTAGCTGCAAGAAACTGAAATTAAATGCAGGCAACAAAGTTATTACATGTCATGGTTTTAAAGTGAATATCCTTATGATCTACATTATGCTTTTTTGTTATCAAAAATGAAAAAGTAGGCGCATGCTTGTAATCCCAGCTGCTCGGGAGACTGAGGCAGGAGGATCTTAAGTTCAAAGTCAGCCTTAGCAAAAGCGAGGCACTAAGCAACTCAGTGAGACCCTGTCTCTACTTTTTAATAATTATTTTAGAGAACATTGGAACCCCGAGGATATCTTCATGGATCCTGATTTGAGAGCCAATGATTGGTACCTTTTCTAAGTAAGCCTACTTCTACATTAATGCTTACCAGAAATAAGTAAATAAACAAATATATTTTTTTAACCTGGGAGCCATCAAGCATGTGACTTCTTATCATAAACCTTTTTGTTAATAGTTTGAATTCTTGTAACAAAGACCGTATCTTTCTGTGAATACCTGGGTTTTTTATTTTGTTTTGCAGAAAGCTCTTAGAACTGGAGGTACAGAAAGAGCAGACCCTTGCTCAGATAGACTTTATGCAGAAACAAACAAATAGAACTGAAGAACTACTGAATCAGCTGAGGTAAGGCAAAGCAGGTAACATTTGTATTTTATCCTGTGTTTTAGTCATTGTCTAATCTACTAGAGCAGTTAAATGTTTTCAGAATGTGTTGTTGTAGGTTTTTCCAGGGGTTTGTTTTGTTCTTACTTTGAGATGGGGTCTAACCATTTTTCCCAGACTGACTTTGAACTCCTGAGCTCAAGCAATCCTAGCTGACTATCTCCCGAGTACCTGGGACAACAGAACAGACATACACTGCTGTGCCCAGCAATTACTACAGGTTTTTAACCTGTATGCACAAGGCAGCTTCAAAAAGGGTCAGAGTTTTTACTAAAGTGAAAATATACAGGGTGGAAGAGCTATGTATGGAATAATGTTAAAGTATTTAATACTTTGCATTGACTTGTTTTTTTCTCTGATACTCTAATTACAACTTAAGATTTTTTTTTTTTTTTTTCTGGTACTGGGGATTGAACTCAGGGGCACTTGACCACTGAGTCACATTCCCAGCCCTATTTTGTGTTTTATTTAGAGACAGGGTCTCACTGAGTTACTTAGCACCTCACTTTTGCTGAGGCTGGCTTTGAACTTTCAGTCCTCCTACATTCACAGTATTTGAACTGAAATATCAGTTGTCTCTGAATCCAGTGGGAAAACATCAGCAACTGTTATTGATACTGTTTTGAGTAGTTTCAGAAATTCTCTCTTTGGGATGGAAGTATAGCTTAGTAGTAGAGCATTTGCCTAGCATACATAAAACCTTGGGGTTAATCTCCAGCACACACACAAAAAATAAAGAAGTTAATCTTTTATCTTTTAAAAGGATGTGGCTTTTTCCCCCCTTCTTCTCTCCAGTTTGTCTGAGTGGGATGTTATTGAGTGGACTGATGATCAAGCTGTATTTACCTTTGTTTATGACACCATAGAACTCATTATCACCTTTGGAGAACCAGTAGGTGAGTAGTAAAAGTAACATAATCCTCTGCAGAGGTCTGGGGATGTAGTTCATTAATAGAATACTTATGTAAGAGGCCCTGGGTTCAATCCCCAGTACCACACAAACAAAAAAAAGAATAAAATAAAAAGCTGGAGATATAAGTCAGGTAGAACACTTGCCTAGTACACATGAGGTCCTGGATTCAATCATCAGTATCACCAATAAATAAATAAAAACATAGCTAGTTAAAGTTGCCATTTGTTTTAGTGTTTGGACACCCAGGGGTACTTTACCACTGAGTTACATCCTCAGCCCTTTTTATTTTTTATTTTGAGACAGGTTCTCACTAAGTGGCTTAGGGTCTTGCTAAGTTTGCTGAGGCTCAAATTTGTGGTCCTCCTGAGTCAGAGGGATTATAGGCAGGTTCTACTGTCAGTATCTTTAGGTCTTTTCTCTTTAACTGGTCAGCTTAAGCACAACCATATTGGAATGTAGGATCTTCATAGCCTCCCAGCCTTTGCATCTGATTTTTACAATGAATAGCATTACCTTCTGTCCAAATCCAGGCTTAAAATTTAGGAATCATGTACATCTCCTTCTCCCTCATTACACATAGCCAAAATCATCAATAAGACATACTGATTTTAATTTCTTTTTTTTTTAAATTTAATTTAATGTTTTTTACTAGCTATTCATGATATTACAATGATCTTGGCAATTCATACATTTGAATCACTGGGGTAAAATTTCTCATTTTTCTAATTGTACAGATTGCAGAATCACACTGGTCACCTATATACATATAGCAATCATAATGTCTATTCTGCTGCCCTTCCTATCCCCCCTACTCCTCCCCTCCCCTCCCATCATTTCTGTCTATCCAATCTAATGTGACACACTTTTTTTTTCTTATCACAAAATCATATATGTATTCTGTATAATGATGAGATTCTCCTTCCATCTTCCATGCAACTCCCCTTCTCCCTCTTTTTCCCCCTCACCTCTCTTCCCTGTTTAGTGGTAGTCTTCTTCTCTTGCTCTTCCTCCCTATCCCATATTGAGTCACCCCCTTATATCAGAGAAGACATTCAGCATTTGTTTTTTAGGGATTGGCTAACTTCATTTAGCATAATCTGCTCTAATGCCATCCCTTTCCCTGCAAATGCCATGATCTTGTTATTTTTTAGTGCTGAGTAATATTCCATGGTGTATAAATGCCACATTTTTTAATCCATTCATCTATTGAAGGGCATCTAGGTTGGTTCCACATTCTAGCTATTGTGAATTGTGCTGCTATAAACATCGATGTGGCTGTGTCCCTGTAGTATGCTCTTTTTAGGTCTTTTGGGTATAGTCTGAGAAGAGGAATAGCTGGGTCAAATGGTGGTTCCATGCCCAGCTTTCCAAGGACTCTCCATACTGCTTTCCAAATTGGCTGCACCAATTTGCAGTCCCACCAGCAATGTATGAGTGTACCTTTTTCCCCCGCATCCTCGTCAGCACTTATTGTTGTTTGACTTCATAATGGCTGCCATTCTTATCGGAGTGAGATGGTATCTTAGAGTAGTTTTAATTTGCATTTCTCTGATTGCTAGAGATGGTGAGCATTTTTTCATGTATTTGTTGATTGATTGTATATCCTCTTCTGAGAAGTGTCTGTTCAAGTCCTTGGCCCATTTGTTGATTGGGTTATTTGTTTTTTTTTTTTTTTTGTTTAACTTTTTGAGTTCTTTGTATACTCTAGTGATTAGAGCTCTATCTGATGTTTGAGGCGTAAAAATTTGTTCCCAGGATGTAGGCCCCCTATTCACCTCACATATCATTTCTCTTGTTGATTCTTGGTTTTAACTCTTGTGCTATAGGTATAGTCTTTCTTATTAAGGAATTTGGGGCCGCCCCCACGTGATGAAGATTAGGGCCAACTTTATCTTCTATTAGACACAGAGTCTCTGGTCTGATTCCTAGCTCCTTGATCCATTTTGAGTTGACTTTTGTGCATGGTGAGAGAAAGGGATTCAATTTCATTTTGTTGCATATAGATTTCCGGTTCTCCCAGCACCATTTGTTGAAGATGCTATCCTTTCTCCATTGCATGTTTTTAGCACCTTTGTCTAATATAAGGTAGTTGTCATTTTGTGGATTTGTCTCTGTGTCCTCTATTCTGTACCATTGGTCTACCATCCTGTTCTGGTGCCAGTACCATGCTGTTTTTGTTACTATTGCTCTGTAGTATAGTTTAAAATCTGGAATTGCGATACCACCAGTTTCATTCTTCCTACTTAGAATTATTGTAGCTATTCTGGGTCTCTTATTTTTCATGATTGCTTTTTCTATTTCTGCAAAGAACGTCATTGGGATTTTGATGGGAATTGCATTGAATCTGTAAAGTGCTTTTAGTAATATGGCCATCTTAATAATATTAATTCTACCAATCCATGAGCAAGGTAAATCCTTCCATCTTCTAAGGTCTTCTTCTATTTCTTTCTTCAGGGTTCTGTAGTTTTCACTGTATAGATCTTTCACCTCTTTTGTTAGGTTGATTCCCAGGTATTTTATTTTTTTTGAGGATATTGTGAATGGAGTAGTTG